GTCTGGCTGGAGAGCAGCTTTAAATATTTATTAGTTTATTTTATTACAGGTATTTATATAGCGCAAACAATTTACGCAGCACTTTACATACTGCACATTCACATCAGTCCCTGCCCTCAAGGAGCTTACAGTCTAAGGTCCCTATCTCACATACATACATACCGGGCCATTTAGAGAGGAGCCAATGAACCTTTCAGCATGTCTATGGAGTGTGGGAGGAAACCAGAGTACCCGGAGGAAACCAACACAAGCATAAGGAGAACATACAGTAGCAAACTCCTTGCACATAATGTCCTGACTGGGTTTTGAATCAGTGCTGCAAGGCGGAAGTGCTAACCACTACGCCACTGTGCCTAAGAAACTAAGGGGGTTATTCACTAAAGAGCTGAAGGATGTAGCTGAACAATTGGCTAATCCTTTGGCTCACTTCGGCTGCAGCAACCCTTCAGCTCAGCCGAACAGAAGGGCTGCTGCATGTGCTGTTCTCAATAGCCCTTACAGCAGCCGAAGGCAGGCAAAGCACACAGCCGAGCTGAAAGCACATGCTTTGTCTCGGCAAAGCAGAACAAACAGCCGAAGCGGACCAAAACCCTTCAAGTTGTCAAAAAAAAAAAAAAAAAGCATCCTCCCAATGTCGAGGGCATGCGGCCTGGTATAGTGCAGGGAGGGGGGTGCCACTCGCTCATCCCCCCCCTTTCCTGCCCTGCCAGGCCACTGCTCAGATTAAGGGTCTGGTATGGAATTTTAGGGAGGATCCCACGTTTTTTGTTTTTCGATTTTTGGGCGCTGTGGTCCCTGTTAAAATTCCTGCCAGTCCAAGAGGGTCTGGTAAAAATGTGTAGGGAAAGCCCACGTTTTTTTGTTGGTTTTTTTACATCAAGGGTCCCTCCTAACATTCCTACCAGATCTAAAGAGTCTGATATGATTTGGCACCCCACACTGTTTTTGTTTTTGGTTACAATCACATTTTTTATTCTGTTTCACTACCTCAGAAATAGCGAAACAGAATGACTGAGCTGAATGCTGAGCCGAGCATTGGGCAATTCACTCTCTGCTGTTCGGACACTTTGATAATAGGGGCGAACAGCAGGGAAATAACTGCCAAACATTCGCCTCAGCTGATCCAGATGTTGCATCGCCTGAGGCACTGGCGGAACTACCAGGGTCGCAGAGGTCACAATTGCGACCGGGCCCTGGCGTTCCGCCACTTGGGGGGGGCCCAGAGAGGAAGAAGAGGCCCCCCCTCCCCCAGAGAGTGCTGCTCCTTCCCTGCCGAGACTCCGCCGGAATGCATTGCCGTCCGCACGCACTCAGACGAGCACAGTTGCTTGCGGCCGCGGCTGCAAGGAACTGTGCCCGTCTGAGCTGCTTCACTCCTATCTGCTTCCTAGCTCCAGGGTCTCAGAGAGAGCAGATTGATCTCTCTGAGACTTCGGAGCGATGAGTCATCTGCAGCGTCCTGTCAGTGGGAGGCGGGGCTTGCCGCGTGTTGGAGTCCCGGCCGGGCTGAGCAGGCTGCAGCCCTGTTTGTGGAGGTAAGATGGCTTAGTGTGTAGTATTCTCCCCCTCCCCCCTTTCCTCTCTTTTCCCCCTCCCCTTCTTCTCTCTCTCTGCTAGTATTGTCATCTAAAACAAACTATTGCTCAGTCTTATACAATCACTAGAAATTCATGTGATTGTATAAGACTGAGCAATTACAGTGACCCTCTGCACCCCTCCTGACACCCTCTGCACCCCTCCTGACACCCACCGCACCCCTCCTGAGACCTTCCGCACCCCTCCTGGGACATTCCGCACCCCTCATGACACCCTCTGTACTCTTCCTGAGACCCTCCGCACCCCTCCTGGACATTCCGCACCCCTCATGACACCCTCTGTACCCTTCCTGAGACCCTCCGCACCCCTCCCTAGGCATTCCGCACCCCTCGTGGGACATTCCGCACCCCTCCTGACAACCTGCACACCCCTCCATTCGTGAGACCTTCCGCTCCCCTCGTGAGACCTTCCGCATCCCTCCTGAAAGAGGGTCCTGCTGGAGAAGAAAGGTAAGTCTGGAGTGGGGGGTGTGGGTTTGTGTGTGTGTGTGTGGGATGCTGGTGATGTAGTGCTCACTTTTATGCATTGCTGGTGGTATTCGGCATTGCTGTATGATGATTATACAGCAATGTAGAATAGCGCCAACAATGTAGGACTACAAGTCCCAGCAATGCATTATAGTGTCGGGGGGGATGCTGGTGGCATTCTGCATAGCTGACTTATTATAATGTATTGCTGGGACTTGTAGTCCCGCATAGCTGGTGGTATTCGGCATTGCTGTATGATGATTATACAGCAATGTAGAATAGCGCCAACAATGTAGGACTACAAGTCCCAGCAATGCATTATATTTTTAAGTAGGGATGCACCACTTCCAATACTAGGCATTTTCCCAAGTACTTATACTCGTGAAAATGCCCAGATACTAAGCGCAGATACCGGTGGTCTGTCGAGAACGCCAACGTAGTCTAATTTGCCGACCTCAGCATATGCGCTTGCGCACAGACCAATATTATCGAGGAAACCGGGATTTATTCACAAAGTATTTCCTTTAAATCATTAATTGTGACTGTTAATAATATTCCATCTTTCATTCATGGATGGCATATTATTAACGGTCACAATTAACCATCACAAACGAATACTTTGTAAATACTTTGTAAATGGTTTCCCCGGTAATTCCGTCTGTATGTAAGCGCAGATACTGGGTCGGCGTTCTCGACAGAACACCGGTACTAACATTTTAAACAAGCGGCTGCCTAAAGTCCCGCGCCTGCTGGGGACCTCGGCAGTCTTCCTGTTACCCATGTGGTGCCATGGGGGGGGGAAGGGCCTTCATGGTTTCTTGCACCGGGGCCCTGAAGGTTCTAGTTACGCCTCTGGCCTGCGGTGAACGGGTTGGTCCTTTCGGTTCACCCGACCGTGCTGAGGCTTTTCGGCTGAGCCAAAGGGAGGTGAAGTGGGCCAAATGCAGCCTATGTACGCCTAAGAATAGCTGTACACGGCTGCAGTAAATAGCAGAACAGGCTTCGGCTCCCTTCACTTTGGCTCGGTTATTCATTTGGCTGCCTTTGGCAGCTTAGGGAATGGCCCCTAAATAATAGTTTACGCATAAACTAAATACGAGTTTGGGGTTTTTTTCTTACTTTTTCTTGTTTCCTAAACCTGTCTTCAGACGCAGCTATTTTTGTGGGGTTTTTTTCAATCCTTACAGTAACACAGTAAGTTTGTCTATGTAAGTTTGTCAGATGTCTATGATTGACATCAGTTCTGTGGATCAGGAGTGCTGTGAATCCACCTCCTCACTCTGCTGTGCCATTCACATTTCAGTGATGATGTTGTAGCTGTGCTTTGTGAATGGCACACCAGAGAGTGGGAGCAGAGGTACCATACCGGGATTGGTGTCAATCATAGACCCCATTTCATTGCGGTGGGGAGCAGGAAGTAATTTTCCCACTGTATATATCAGCAGTTGGGTTGCTGCACTTTTTAAATACATCTGATTATAGGAGCTTGTCAAACATTTTCACAGTTAAACAATTTCAAAGACCAAAACTGAACCTCAGCCATGTAAATTTTTTTAAAGAATAGCCACCTTAAGGTTCCTGCTATTACCCTTTATCAGCCAAAAAAATACTTTTATGCACCCAGAATTAATCTGTTGTTCCAGAGCAGGACAGGCAGCAACATTAGGGGAGACTGCTATCCTCAAAAATGATGGACCTCAATAAAATTGCAACCAAGCAACCACCATAAGGAAAACAACAGGTGGGAGAGACAATTTAGACCAACAGAAAATGTGGTAAAAAAAACAGAGAAAGTTTGTAGACTAAAGACCGAAACCTAGAATGTTGGACAAATAATGTATGTCCCGACCAAGGACCAACCAGTAAAACAGCTGGGAGTTAAAGTAGAATACCAATAACCCTTGACTTTAGAGAAAGGGAGATCTATAACATAACAGACCTCTTAATAGTAACCTAAAAGAAGAGAGGGAAGAAAGCCTTCAATATGCAACAAAGAAGGGTAGAGCACCAAGTCCCCTTTAAGGGAGTAGGGAAAGATCCACATACCTAGATGAAAAGAAAAGGCTAAATTATGATACTGTATATTGCGACACAATAATAGTACGGGGACCTCAGAATGAAAAGGATGAGAAAGAAACTTTCCAACTCACGCCAATAGAAGATACAGAGATGTGATAGTCATAATACAACCTGTCTAATAGAATATATGAATAATTAGTCTTATATAGAGAATAAAGGGGATCTTTCTTCCAAAAAATAGGTCCCATAAGAATCACCAGACTTATAGTTCCCATCTAGGGGAACTCCGCAGTCAGGTACAGAATAGTATGTCTGTTTGATCGAACGGGGAAGAACAGAAGTAATAAGATGCGGATTTCCTTGTAAAGAAGGATAAGAAGTTGCATTCGTAAACAGTTCCCTCACTGTAAAAGGAGAGAAAATGTCAGAATTAGGGATCCAGAAAAAAGACTGAGTCTTGCATGGAAGTAGTGTGGACACTACAAGACTGCCAACACTGTGCAGTGCAAGGAGGAAGACATCAGTATTCACAGATAGAGTATTGCACACTTTATTAAAGTAAAGTGGGAGTTCATATAGAGATTCCATTACTACCTGGGAAGCGGTCTGCCTAAAATTGCACTAAGGGACAGTATATAAAGGAATTACATTGATGGAGTTCTCTTCAATCCCAAAAAGGGGGTAAAGGGCACAGTACCGGTTATACTCAGAGAGAGGAGAGGAGGTGATGGTTAGTATAACAGGAATTGCTAGAATCCAGGTGAGGAACAAGGAGTGCATTTGTGCAACGCTGTTCCATAGATACATAGTTAACCTGGTTGAAAAAAGTCCATCAAGTTCCCTTCAAGATGAAACGTCACCTCAGTAAAAAGGGTGTATATTTTCAAAACAAGAAGGCGCCCAGTGGTTAAAATTAAGACACAGTTCCCTCTGCTGCAGCCCGACCTTAATTGTCAAATGTATTAAGAGACTAGGTCACACATACAGGCTCTGCCACAGCTCTAAAACGGAATAGTACTCTGTAAAATATGAAAAACAGTGCATGGCCAACTGAGAAGTGACATAATGCAGAGTCCAGTGAGTAAGAGTTACACATCAAGATATGTTAATTGCAAAACAGAGACTTACTTCTAAGGTGAGAGTCTACAGAGACTGCATCACATCAAAGCGTGTGCCACTGCTCTTTCTTACACAAAACAGGAGGGTCTGGAGAGAACAGCAGTATAGAGCAGAGGGCCCAAAGGTCACATAATCGGTTCATATCACACTATGTAGAGGTTCACTTAGAGGGTAAGTGTTCAGAGATTGGTCACCAGAGGTTCCGTCACCACTCTAGACTTGGGGAGTGGGCTGCAGTTTACTAGCATAGTACACAAAGTTTGAAAAGTGCCACAATGCAGAGTTAAGTATTTATAAGCCAAATACTAGGATTTTTTTTGCCACATCCAGAGGCTTACATACACTGGCAGACATCAGAGACTGGGTTACACCAGAGGATGTAGCACTGCTCTGAAAATGGAGGCTAACTGTCACAAAACACACAGGTCTGCAAAGAATTACAATGGTCAAATGCCACATACCAGGATATTTTCACCACTTTTAGAGGTATATTCACACAAGAAGTTATCAGATACTGGGTTACACCAAAGGATGTACCACTGCTCCGTCACTGGAGAACGCTCTGCAGCTAACTGTCCCAGTACACACGGGTCTAGAACGCACCACAATGCAGAGCCCAGTGCACAAATGGTCACATTCCAATTTCTCTTTGCCGCTCCATAAGCCTACTCACTGAATGAGTCTTCAGAGACTGGGTCACACCAGAGACTGTACCACGGCTTTAGACTTGGATAGAAACCTGCCGCAACATAACACAGTACACAAAGGTCTGGAAAGCACCACAAGCAGAGCTCAGTGTCTGAAGAGCACCTTCCAAGTATATTGCCACTTCTTTCTGCAGGTATTGCAGTTTGCGGTTTTGACCCTGATTTAAAAGTACATATGTACAATACATGCACATTTCCCATGCTTTATTCCTTTGGAGACCCTACAAGTACAGAAAAATACCAATTGATTTGCCAGAAACCTCTGCTCTAGAAGCCAAAAGGGCCTAAAGAAGATAAGGGACCCCTAAAGCAGCTCAGAAATATTGGATAGTGCATGTTTTGTGCTAGGAAGGAATGGCAACCACTTGATTAGAACCTGAAATACAGCTTGTCAGTTGGTCTAAAGGCCATAGATAGGTGTATTTGCTGGTTTGTGTAGAAACCAAAAGGTTTGGGGAACTTCCGTAGGTACATAGGCAGTAGCCTTAGAGTTCCCAGAATAAAAAAGAAAAAACTGTACATGGCTAAATGAATACATAACTCACAGACGTTTGAGTTATATCAGCATTCAGTTATAATCAGTGTACCAAGGTGCTTCAATGGTTATCATTTTTTGTTGCAGCCTGGGATTCTGGGATTCAGTCACCGCAGGACATTTACTGCATGGATATTGTATGTTTTCTCTATGGATGGGTTCCAGCTTTCACATCTGAAACGTATACCAGAAGCATAATTGTCTTCTAGCCTACTTGGTCTTACAATGTGTGTCTGCATGACTATGGTGAGGCCACTAGACTGAAAGCTTTTTAGGGGCATACCATGATGTAAATGGTTCAATACTCTCCTTGACTTTGTCTAGTAGCAGAACACAAATACAGAATATGTACTGACCTTTGCTCTAGATCTGAAGTTCTGTAAATGATGGTCTCTGGCTTCCAGCAACATCTTATGTACTCTGGATTTTTGTACACATAGCAGCCAGGCAATGGCAATGACACCAGTAGCCCATCTTTGTTGATGGTAGGCAAGGTATGCCACTCTGTCTTTATATCCTCGCCATGTGCTTTGGATCTTCAGAGCAGCTGCTGACCTTCCTTCTCTTCCCTTGTAACGCTGTCCGGGCTGGTTCAAGAACTTGTGAACCCAAGATCTGTTTTCTAACACAGACAGCAGGTGAGATATTGATGGAGTCCTACCCAGCTCCACATCCAGCGAAGCTATCTTCATCCTCTCTCCATTTACCACAGCATTAGGAACAGCATAATCCTGGAGTAACCTTACTAAGCTCTCCAGAAAAGTCATAAAACTACCCCAGCTAAGACAGTAATGCTGCTTAAAGGCCAAAAAGTCTGTTGCATTGGGATCAATCACACCATTGTAAATGGTAAACGACTGACCAATGGGAACACTGATGGCAGTCAATTCCCAAGGATCCTGTTGAAAAAAAAAAATAAGACAACTATAAGTATGTTAAACAAACACTAAATGTTATGCACTTTTTAAACAGAAACCGCAGTCCTCTATTACAGCACCACAGAAAACATCTTGTTTTCTCTTGTACAATACAAAAGCAAAAAAACACAACTTCATTACTTATTGGCAGGCAGATGTATAAATGCTAGGGAGGTAGTAAGACCATAAGCCCAGCTGTGCATAGGCCTGTAGGCACATGATTATTATCTGGGGGGTCAATCTTGGCATGTCTGTTAATATGTGAGGAGTATATGAAACGCATCAGGAGTTTGGTGTGGAATGCACTAAAAACAAAAATATGCAGATTGTCCTTTATCATCACAACACTTGCACATCTGCTACTGCCTCGAGGGACAGGACAAGTGAGATGACCCGAGAAGAAGATGATGCCATTTAGTTAAATGTACATAGGTACCTGTGATGCGGGAGATTCACTGGCTTCTCTTTCTTGGTTTGTCACATTGGCTGATGTCCTTGTAGTTTTGTTAGAAACATTATGACGCACAGAAGGAAATGGTGTTTCCATTCCATCACTTGATAGCAGAGACTCTGTCTGATCCTGATCTTGGCTTGTCTGGTGTGGATCCTTCTCTGTCAGCTTGACATGATCTCTTCCTACATAATATTTCCATTATTCAGCTTAAATAACAATTACTTTTTTTTTGGGTGATCAGGTATATAATCCAAGTATTGAATCATTGTCAACGAAAAAAACACTTATATGCGTGAGAAAAGGCCAAAGGCTGGGCTACCTTACCTGTGCCAGCCCAACTAGATGACATTTGTTATGTTCATGGGTACCATGTAATCCATTCACCTGCACATTTACTATAGTTTCCTTCACAGGGCTGCTTGGAATGACTGCACACTCACTAGATAGTGCTTTAACATGCACACTCAGGCTATGCAAGTGTGCATGTTCATGCATGATCCTTTTAAGAAAATGATGCCTGAACTTCTGGCCAGCTTAAAGTGTAAATATAAAGGCAAAACACACATATACACACTGAATATAAATATATAGACACACACACTGTATTACAAATAAGCATTAAAGGATTCCCAGAGCACTACGTGCTAGCTAAAGAGACATCACAGACTTGTTTTGTAACATTAAAAAAAAAGGTAATTCTATGTATACCAGGCCTGGTGAAATTTTATGCATTCCCTGGATAATAATTCAACTCCTATGTGAATCTTCAGTAAGTAAATACGAGTTAAAAATGGTATCACTAGCTGAGACTGACCTTCCTTCCCTGGTGTAACATTTGCCTTGTTGTTAGGTTGGTGTTCATCATAGCAGGTCCCTTCTGTGTTCTCAGAACACTGCTAAATAGCAGAAACACTTTACTGACCATGATGTTTTCTCTACGTCATGTGCAAGTGCTTGGGACTTAATAGCCTGATGGCCTCTTTTGCCATGGGATGAAGAAATTTGGCTTCAAAGCTGAAGATAACATGATAATTGGCTTACAATATGAATTCAGCTTGTATCTTTGACATCATTATTTGCATTATAATGGTAGATATAAATTCAACATGGCATGAGCCAGGATTTTCATTTACAAGGGGCATTTCAGCTCATACCGTGTTTATTTTATATAATTACGGATTTAATTCAACTGAAAGAGATATAACACTATAAATAGCTAGAGTTAGCAGATATATGACCTATAAATATAAAACTCTTCAGAGATAAAACACAGCATACAACATCAATAAAAGAATTAAAAGCAAACCTTCAGCCATATACCTTGTGAATGAGAGGATGTCCAGCGAGTCTGAGCACTATGCAGGGACAGAGTCTGGGGCTGAATGGCAGAAGGAACCAGGGTGAGACGAGCAGCCGGGGGAATGAGTCCTCTCTGCAGTAGACTGAGAATTCCTAAGGGGTGAACAATGGGGGATATACCGTATATGTATATGCAAATGTGGTTCTGTATGTTACAAAATGTTGACATATCATATACAGTAAAAGTAAATGAAACTTTATGCAACTTTGATACATTTTATTAAACTGAAATTCCAGGCCAAATTGATAGTATGGGGCAGAGCAAGTGTCTCAGGTTTTGGCTATTTTTGGCTAAATTTGGAAGATTTCCTTCCCACTTCATGCCCCTTGAACTTGTGTCACTAGGATAGAAAGAAAGTGGTACTCTCCTCATCAGTGATGCACACACAAAACAATATGACATAAATCCTAATGCTTCTCCACGCTATCAAAGAACAAAATTAAAAAAAGTTTTGGCTCGAGATTTACATTCATTTTATGGTTGCTCATTACATGTCTTTTCAACTTTCTGCAGATACATGTTATAAGTTATATTCTGCAGATATATATTATCTGCAGCCAGCTGGTTCGGGCACCCATATGTTCAAGTCTTGGCTCACAGCTTTGCACATAGAGTTGTGGTTGGGCACAAGTCTGCTCACAGGAGAGTACATGCTTCATGGTGCATGTGCATGCTCATTGTCAACAGTGGTGCCAAGCGGCTTATTTAAGGCACAGCCTGACTCTGTGACCTGTCCTGCGCTCTGTTATATCTGTTCTTCTTTACTGACCTGGCTTACTCCTTACCTACCTGTGAATCCTGCTCTGTACCTCTGCTTGGATGTTTGCTTACCCAGTTTGTGACCAGCCAGGGAATAACACATTCATCATTGCTTCTGGGTTCATTCACAGCAGCGAAAGGGTTAACGGCATAATAGCCCCCTTCCCTTGGTTCCCTAAGCACCTGCTTATTTTGATTAATGGTTAATCCAGCCCTGGTTAGGTTTACTTAAAAGGTCAGGTATAATCAGGTGTGGCTTACTAATAAAGCTAATTTTAATGTCAACTGAGTTTATAATCCAGAACAATTTTTACCACAACCCTGTTTGGGAGAGAATGGGAAGGCTACATGCATTGGCCAAATAATTTTGTGCTTTTTAAAAGATCTCCAATTTCAGGTGTTAGAAAATGTGTAGTATTGTTAAACAATAATACTTTTTATATTTACACTAAGAACATTTAGTCTGAACATCAGTCCCAAAATAGAACCGATTAAAAAAGATAATACTATTAATCACCCCCTCTGGGGAAGTAAATAAGGCCCCGACCCCAAAATGATAATGTACATAATCTGTAACATATATTATGTTGTCACCGCAATGGGGGAAAACAGGTGGTAGTTCCAAGTAATTATCCTCCAGCATAGTTTTTGTGTTGTCTGTACGGGAAGCTCTCACCTTTTTGTACATCCTTTTCATGCACTGGTGGTGGAGTCAGTGAGGCATCCATACGGTGTGAGGCTGGTAACACTGAAAGAGGAGTGAAGGTAGGCCCTTTGACAATCTTCTCCATAGGTACCTATAAGAAGCAATGTTTAAACCAGTGCATCTAAAGTTTCCATCATTATAAAATAAGGTTCAGAGATACCCTGCGTCTGTGACATAGAAAGAATGGACATGGGAATGCTAATTATGATGTAATGAACCATCAACACTGTCCTAGATTTTCTAAATTGTATGTACAATACTTTCCTTACAAAGACATGAAGAAAAGTACATTTAGGGAAATCAAAACCGTGATATAATGATACAAACCAGGGGGAAATCTGACTGATTGGCTAATACTACAAAGCTAACCTTGCCACTTGGTTATAGAACTGTTTAGTAAATCCAATTGGGAGGAACACCTCATCTGGCCAATAGCAGTGAGTAAAAGGAAGACGGGGTAAGAAGAAAAATGGCAAAGGTAGAGAAAGAAAACTAAAAAGAAGTAAAGAGGAAGAAAAGGGGGATAGAGCCGGGACCGAACACTTGCCATGTAGTGAGCCTCGAAAGGGCTCTCACTCCTCCATCAAAGAGTTGAGAGTTGAAATGAGCTAACGACAAGTAGAAAGCTAAAAAGAAGGAGAGGGAAGCAGTGAGGAAGAAGAAGGGGATCCAGCCAGGACTGAACACATGGTACTCTCACTTCTCAATCAAAGAGTTGAGGGTTGAGATGAGCTAATGAAGTCTATCCAGGTACTGCAAGTGGCAACATATGTAGGGTATCGGTCTACTAGCCTAGCAAAGAGTTCCTCAAGTCTCATAAATTAATTAAAGTATATTTCCCCTTTTGCAGTCAATATATGTTTGTTATGTCTTCCTGTTCACACTGCCTGTTCACACTGCACACTGAAAAATAACTTTAAAAAACATTTCTTACCTTTTAAAAGTTTTGTTAAAGCAAAGGTTTAAGAAAACATTTTTTTCTTAGCCCTTTACAGTGGTCTGTCCTAATGGAAAGACTTGGGACTGAAACTTGAGGATTGTGTTTATTTGATAAGTTTCATTAACATACAACGGACAATCCACCTCAGACCCCTCACAGCCCCTCCTAACATTTCAAAGAAATAGAAGCAAGAAGAAATTGTAACCCTTAAAACCCTAACCCAAGTAAAATAAATTTTAACTGCAAGAAGCATTTTTAAAAAATGTTTTTAGCTTGTGCTCTGTAAATGGGAACATGTAACAAATATAAAATCGTTGATATCACAATCTGGCTGCGAAAGTGGAAATACACTTTAAGTTCCATAACCCAATCTTCAATAAAACATAAATACGTTTATTGCATTTACGTGGTCAATGCACCCAAACTGATTCTGTTCTTTTTTAGGTGGATGCTAGCTGGTTGAATTTTCCAGTCGTTTTATACCTCTTGAGGACTTTATTGGTCATACATCCTTGCTGGAGTTCCTGGCTTTATTTATTAAGGCCCCATGCAGTCTCTTTCCATCTGCTGCATTCTCTCTAATGCAAAACGACAAAACCATACAGCATGGAGAGTGATACCCCTCATAATGGTTGTGGCCGTTCCAGAGATGTAATTCTAATTCTCAGCATTGGCCCAAAACTGAAGTGCCAATTCTGGGTGGACTGAACGTTCCTTTTTTTAAATAAATATTAAGTGACAAAGCACAGATAACCTCCATAGTACTTCATACTAAAGCTGGCCATACACTGTTATATGTCTTTCGTTCAGCCTGCGGACTAAACAAAAAAATATAATAGATTCCTCCATCCACGCTAAACAGCGGATGGACAAATCTCCCCCGTCAGCTTTGTATACTCGAATGTTGGATACAGCTGATTGGCTGCTGTCACTGTTCACCTGAAGATTTTCCATGTACGAGTTTCTGATCGAAGGATGCCGGACAGAAGGAAAGAATTTGCACAGTGTATGGCCAGCTTAATATAGAACTCCAGGCAAATACAATCTTAACCCTTGCAGTGGGGCTCAGGAGCTAAAATAACAAAGTTATACTCACTTGAACCATGTTCCCAGCTGGCTCCAAGACCGGTCCCTTGAGCCTCTTTCCTCCTCAGAATGTCCCTCAGCGTCCTCACATCCTATACGCTGTATAGGATGTGATGACTCACAGGACCTACTAAGACTGCCAGAGTGGAGGGGAAGCGAGGCTCCAGGGACCGGTCTAACAGCCAGCTGGGACCGTGGTTCAGGTCAGTATAAATCTGTTATTTTAGCTCCCTAGACAAAACGAGCACTTAACCCTTACAGTGTGGGGGGTAGCCTCACTGAAGGGTTAAGATTTAATATGCCTGGGGTTCTTCTTTAAGTCTAAAGCTGGGTATACACTGGTAGATTTTGATATGAACCTTCATGCAACAAAAACGTCATCAGAACATTGAATAATGCCATTAGAGACTTCGATAGTTCGTTTGATTTTAACATTCAATTTCAGAATAAATGGAGTTTTACAAATGCAAACCACATTTGCTGCAAAATTTTGTTTCAGCACAAAAATCCATCCTGCTCCTTGGATTTTTTTTTTTTTACAACACAGTTGAAATCGATCATTGATTTGACCTCATGTACTATTAGACGATCGGACAAACCTTCAGATAAAATTTCGAACAAAATTCGAACTGTGTATACCCAGCTTAACACGTAGGAAAAGGTGGATTTTACTTTGTGTTTCATGAGTGCTGAAAAATGGATCAAACATTTCCTGGGACGAATCTTCTAAGCCAAGAAGTACCTCTGGGGCATTTGGGAGCTGTATGAATGCACTTATGTTTTAAAAGAGTCATATTCTGAATACCATTTTCACTCTACTAGTACAAGAAGCAAGCAAGCAACCGGTCTCTCTTAGACATGGTTGACGAAAAATAGCTACTAAACTCCGCTAGACTTATCAAAGTTGTCTTCTCCTTCTGAGAAATATCAGAAGATGTGTCACTGCCGCTTGCAGCACCCAAAGAATTTCTGGCTCTTGGACCTCAGCGGAGCTGAAAGCGGCAGGTGCGGCAGAGGGAATGCATGCAGAACTTTTGCAAACGCCACATCTGTTTCACAACGCGGGTGACAGCAGCGGAGCAGAAAGGAGTGAGAGGAGGATGGTAGGGTGGGGGTTTGAGGCAGAAAGATATGAGCTGGCTCAATATGCCTGATGCTTTGAACGTGGGCAGAAGGCCAGGCAGAAAAGCGTGGGCCCATCTTATTGGAATTCAGTAGTGGCCCTCGCTTCCTGTCCAGAGACAGATGTAACGCAGCCGTCCATGGCATTGCAAGCAGGCATTGAGCTGTTTCCAGGGATTTGTGTGTAGTACAGAAGCAGTGTCGCTGGCTCACCGTGCACCCCTGCATAGCGAAATGACAGCCAGTCTTCTATTCCACATGACAAGCACTGGATAAAAACTTACAACAAATGGTGACCTTTCCAAAGATTAATTTGTTTACCAGCAGAATCTTCCTCTCCCTGTCATCCCAGATGGAGCATATCAGAGCGTCCCCAGATTCTAGGTGCAAGGAACGCTGACTCCAATCAGATCCAACTCTCCGGCAATTAGTTCCAGGCTTGGTTTATTTCCTCTCTCTTTTATAATATCCCCCC